ACCAAAAGGGCAAGGCTGAAAAGGGCCTCTGGTTAGAGGGTCTAAGGAGCTCCCTTCTCTAGGGAGGGATCTTACCTCGGTCCTGGGCCTGGCACAGCCCCACCTCAGTGATCTCTCGACACCAGGCCTGCAGCTCAGGGTCCCCTCTCACGATGTCATCCCCGTGGTAGAAGAGGTGAACAATCCCCTCCACGTACCTGCCCAGAGAAGGGAGCTGAGCTCCTTGAGAGTAGAAGGCTACCCTCTGGCTGCTACTCCTTTTCTGTGGTCTCTATCCAGCTGATTCTCATTGTATCTGGGGACAGATCTGATAAAACTTTCCTTTTGGGACATCCTGGAGCTCTTTCTACACACTAGTTAGAAAAGAAGGAAATGTGGGACATTAGTTTTAAGAATTCTGCCTGGCCAAAGTGCCTCAGGGATTGAGTGTGGACCTATGAACCAAGAGGTCACAGTTCAATTTCCGGTTGGGGCATGTGCCTGGGTTGCTGGCTAGATCCGCAGGAGGGGCTAGCAGGAGGCAACCAATCAATGATTCTCTCTCATCATTGATGATTCTATATCTTTCTCCCTTCCCCTCTCCCTCTCTGAAATCACTACAAATAAATATATAAAAAATAGCATTGCAAACACATGGCTTATAGTCACTCTTCATAACAAAATCCCTGATTCCACCAGATCCCTTAGTTTCACTCACCCACATAAGTCTGCCTACACTGTCTATTTCAGCCTTCCCATCCTCAGAATCTACTCTCTGTTCCTCATCTATTCTCGATTGAGTCCTTTGCCTCTCCTGTCTGGACTTTCTTATTTCATATTCCTTTGGCCCCATGCTGACCTTCAGTTAAAACCCCATTCTCACTATTCCCAATGTCTTTTTATTTCTCCAACTCTCACCCACCGAGCAATGATCTCCCAGAGCCGTAAAGCATCATGGGCATAGAGGGCACTTGGGATTCCCAGCAGGCCCCGGTCAGCCAGATCATCAGGAGGACAGAGGGAGCGGTAGGTCAGCTGAGTCATGGCCCGACGGAACACCTGCACAAGGCCCCCTCCACCTGTGCTCCATGCCTGTAACAATAGAAATGAGGGGTGTTGAGGGGGCAAACAGAGCTGGAGAACATGGCATAGTATATAAAGTGGTCAGATGTGGCCTTTTCAGATTCAATGACATTGGCATAAAGGGACAATGCTCCTTGGTTTTAGGGTCAGGACATTCACACAGGGGGGTCTGGAATGTTGAAAGTGACAGGAGTTCATGCAGACTTGGGTGAGTAGGTGGTCCCACAATCCACCTCCTTACCTTATCAAATAAACCTCCATCTGAGATGAGTTGGTTCCGTGCCCTCGTGTTGATGTCCATGGTGTAGCGGGTATGTGGGATCAGGAGCTGGATGGGGAAGGTTGGAGCGGGTGGTTTATTACAATATGC